CAGGCAAAGCCCCATATTGATCATGAAGAGATGTTCTGTATCCCGTTACTGCCTAGGAACAAAACTCAACATTTCCCCCCTCCCCACTGCTATGAGCAGGGCTGGTGATTCCAGGCACCTGTGCAATTTCAAGTTCATCTCTCAATTGCTGCTTATTTCCAGCTCACGTAGCCCTGACTGAGAGGGTTAGCTCGTTCATCGTGAAGGGGCTCAGCCACTCACCACATTGAGGCAAACCCACCGCTTTCACCAAGTTCTGATTTCTTCCTCCTCCCCTGCTGCCTTGTCCCTGAATTTCAGAGAACACGTGCAACTGCCTTCATCTAATGACCGCCTACTTCTCAGACTGTGGAGATGGAGCACAGGTTCAGAGGTGTGCCAGGACACCATGGGAGGCTGTGCTTCAGGCAGGAGGAACCCAGAGGTGATGAGAACCAGCTTGTACGTAACGGGCTGGTCGCAGTGAGCCTTTTAATGCCCAGGACGACAACACAAAGGTGGCTGCGTTGTGGAACAAGGGCAGAGAATGGGTTACAGTACTCCCCCCTCCCCCCATCCTGTGTGTTTCCCTTGCTTCTGTAGGTGTCACTCAACCCTTGTGCCTGGGTGGCATTTCACTATAACCCCAAGTTGAGTGGCTCAAGTTTCACCAGGAGCACTGCAGCAGAAAGGCCTGGTGGTCCGTTTCTGCAAAGACGACCACCATGAAGAGCCGGGGAGCAGTCCGACTGTATCTCACGGGATTTCCATGAGTCAGAATTGGTTTTGTTGCTGCTGCTGCGCTCAGCGAACTTCCCCCTTTGTCTGCCCTCAGCTGCCCTCGACTGGTCATCGCATGAAAGGAAGTGACTGTCAGCCAAAAAGCAAGATCCAAGAGTGGCCTGTTCTGTAGGCTTCCCTAGGACAAAACTCCTGCTCAAAGATTTGAGCCAAGTAAGTGGGAGGTAGCATCTGAACACCCAGCAGAAAATGGGGGACCAAACCAGAGACATTTCCATGAGGATAGGGGCAAAAATGAAGACTTCTGATGTAAACGTGGGCAGCCAAAATTCAAACCCCAGACAGACCCAACATTGCCATTGAGTTGATGTCGATTTCTAGTGATCCTACAACCTATAGGGTACTACAACCGCCCATGTGTTTCCACAAGTAGAAAGCCCCATCCTTTCCCTGCAGAGCAGCTGGTGGTTTTGAACTGCTGACCAACTCATAACCACGACACCACCCGGGGTCCTCTAGGTCGACAAGGTAAAGGTGACAAGGACCTTCTTTAGGTACAAATGGAACATTTTTTCCCCCAATGCATCTGGCAAATCTTTAGATAAGATCCAGGAATATGCGGAATACTGATTTTCTTCCCTGGGCCAATCACCCCGTCTCTGATTTCTTCACGCCTGAGAACCAGCAGGCAAGATGGGAACTGTTCTTACTTTACAGACCAGTGTGGCTGGCCGCCGGATGCAGAGCCCACTGCCACCAGGGCTCCCTTTCCTTTGGCCACAGAAAACCAATCTCTCCCATCAAGTTGATGCCGACGCCTAACACCCCTACAGGACGGTAGAACTGCCCCTGTACGTTGCTGTGACTCCCAAGGAGAAAGCCCCTTCTTTCTCCAACTAAGTGACTGTTGGTTTTGAACTGCTGGCCTTGCACTTTGCAACCCAATTGGTTATCAAGATGCCAACAAGTCAGTTCCAACCCGTCACCACCCTGCGCACAACAGAACAGCACACAGCCTGGTCCTGCACCTTCTTCACGACGGTTTCCAATCCTGAGCCCTCGGTTGCAGCCACTATGTCAATCCATCTCATTGAGGCCTTTCCTGTCTTATTGCCTCTCCACGTGACCAAGCATGAGGTCCTTCTCCAGGGACTGGACGTGTCAGTCAGGGCCTTTGGCCAGAGGCTGCAGCACTGGACAGTGCAGATTAAAGTAATCGTGGCCCCGCAGCAAAACAGCAAAGGTCTGTTTCCTCCGCCTCCCCCAACCCCCTTGGCAGGCCCTGACTGCCTGCCTCCTCGATGTAGCCAGCACGCACAGCGCTAGATCACAGCCACCAAGCTCCAGCCTCGCTGCTGTTGCCCATCCTGGGCTTTGGATGCTCCTACCGAGGCTGAATCCCGATGGTGTTACTGTCTGCATCCGCAGCTCTGGCACAGAGCAGGTTTATCCAGTCTTCATAGAACGCGGTCTGTATAAGGGGGTTATTGAAAGCGTAAATAACTCTGAAAGCATAAAAGTCTAGTTTTCATTTTGCATTCTAAATCTGGCCTAGCCATTCTAGGAAAATGCAGACTGCGGAAACTCACAAAGTTGGTAGAAAGTAACACTGCCCCCCACACTGGTGTGGGAACAAATGGCTGGTGACTGACTACCTGTGTTTTGTGTTGGGGAAACGGTGAGGTGTGCTCCTGGGAACAGTCTAATAGATGTTGAACCCAGTGCACCCTTTTGTGTATAATGGTCCATTTATAATGTTCAATAATTGCGCATTTCTACATTGGGGGGAAAATGTTATTTCATTTGCCACCATGGAGAATAAGGAATCTTGAAGGGGTGCATGTGGTAACAGTCAACTGCAAATGAAAGGTTATAGGTTCCAGCCCACCCAAAGGAGCCTAGGAAGAAAGGCCTGGTTATCTACTGAAATCAGCCAGTGGAAACCCCAGGGAGCACAGTTCTGCTCTGACACAGGGCGGCGGCGCCAGGAGTCAGAGTCAACGTGACGACAGGTGAGAAACCACTGTGCAAATGCCATGTCTGGTTGTTTACTCTAGACTCAGCCAGAGCTGCACATTCTTATTCACGCTCTAAGAGAGTGCCGTGAACATTTGACTAGATCTACGTTTGACTGCAATCAATTTGGGCTTGTCACATTACATTTTGAAACATCTATAACGCTTTTGGTCAGTGTGGTGTGATGTGCAGCTCGCAGTCAAATTAGTGGGAGCTTGAATGAAGAGCAGTAAGCTGAACCCACTCGTGTCAAGCAGGTAAACGGTTTTAGCAGAATTATTGATAGATCTGGATAATAC